TTTGGGAAGCACCCCGAAAATTTTTTCAGAGTGCGTGGCTAATGCCATGCACCTCCATCTAAAAAATTTTTCGTTGCCCCTCCCCTCCCCGATGTCAACTTCACTAATGTTAGCACATATAACGGAAAACTTTGTTTACAAAGGTAAAACACTTAAGAGCTTTACCACACACACAAAGGCCACACTAACAACATCGAAATTTCTTCATGCCAAAATCAAACCATTCTATACCATTTCAAACTCTTCGAAATGTCCAGCAAATTGAAGACGGATATTAAAAGCGCATCTAGAAAAAAATTTGCTTTTCTCCTGGTGGATGATTACCGTCTCTGAGATTATTCAAGTAACAGAAGTAATTGCAGAGTTGCGTCCACCAATGATTTTCAAGGGTGTCACTGTTAAAGTGCAGATCATGCACCAAGTTTTGACAGTAACGTGCCCTCATCAATTTTTAAAGAATGTTCTCAATACCACACCCATAACAGCTCGCAATTGCTTGAGACTTCTAACAATGAATAGAACAGCCCTCATCTATTGTGATGCGATAAGCATCTTCCATGACAAGAGGTAACTAGTTTCTAACAATGTGAAAATTTAAAAGTACAGAAGACTCACGCAATGTTTTCCATGGCAGTCTTCTCGTCAGTAATTGGAATTGATGTTATCGAAAGATCTAGCATGTTGTCCTTCGTGACGTCCAGATTAATCGATGCCGATTTCAACGATACGTTGTCGTCCATGGCGATACTAAATGCTGAGGTATGAGTGAATGTTCGCAACACCACATCAACAGCTCCTGCTGTATGCAATACAATGATAAGGCGTTCGACAGTGCTGAGTCAGAGCAATCGAGTAGAGAAAACAAGTCAATCATGAACACTTTTTTGCGAAATGATTTTTGAGCAATCTCGAATAACCCTAGATGATGTTGTTGGATTAGGGCTTGCAGAAAGCATCTACAGAGAAGCCGGCCAAAGGACGCAGGCGACGCTCGGAAGCTAAACAAATGCTTGAAACGAGCAGCAGCTGATCAGCTTCAACGCTGAATGAGCAGTTCGAGAAAAGAGAGCGGAGAGAAGAGAGATCCTGGGGTCCCACTCCACAACCCGAATCAAGCTGCTCGGGTGATGCGTACTTTGAATACGCGTTCATGGTGCAAGATCAACCGAACAAGACATTACCTAGGAAAGTCATTCCCAGTACAATCTTGTAGGATTTGGACCTTTAGTAACAGACAGTACCACAACCTTAATCATGGGATTGCAAAATGATTACTAGTCTTGTTGCTAAGATGTTGCGAAACATGTGTCAGCACATTTGTTCTCACACTTGCCTTTTTCTCGCTGATTAGCACAATGACAGGGTCATAAGGCCGTGTAAACGGGACACTTTCAATGCGGTAAGTGTTACAACAGAGCGCTAGAACCATTCTTAGATGGAGAAGTGGCCCAGAAAGACCGATGCCGCAAGTCTCCCGCTGGGAGAGGGATGCTTGGG